CAACCGTGTGCTACGTTCTCTAACGTGTCGATGTTTTCAGAGGATAACTAAATGGGATTAAAGCCACTAGGAAGGGGAGTGTTTTTACTGGAAATTATGGCTTTCAAAACATAAATTTAGATGCGTTGTATTATTATCCTACCCTCCTTTTATTTTCCAAGTTATAATCGCTTATAACGGATAATGGGATATCAACTGCATTTTTCATAAACTTCTAATTTCGGTAGCCAGTTATGAGATTAGCAACAGTTCCTCAAAAAACCATGAAATTTCTTATCACGAAGAAAAGCCATAAATGATCAAGAAAATGTTAATCTTAGTAATAATCCTAACAATATTACATTAATCGCCTAATTCATGGAATTTATCAGTGTAGCTTCTGCGTGATTTATGTGTCGACAGTGAAATCTCCCTTTTTTCTCGTCTCAAAGCGCACGTATTTCAATTTTTAATCCAACCTATTCCACATGTAACATAACGGTCGCAACTGCACTCTACTCACTAGCCATGATTACCTTTCATTAGAAGTCAACAGTTACACGGCCACTAATTCCGCTTGCTGGTGGAACTAGTTGTCGCTCATTACCAACATCAAAGCCGTCATCATAATATGCTCGACAGGGATCGCGAGTTTCGCCTCGCGGTCAACCGTTCGACGAACTTCATGTGCGCGTCTGTACATTTTCCGCTACTACACACGCTACGCAATAGAAAAAAAGGGTACTTATTTAGAGTAGAGGACACCTCGCTGATTTTGATCAGCTTAAAATATATTGTCAAGATCAACATTCTTAATTTCGCTTACACATATAATTATTGTTCGATTTCAACTTTCGAGCTATGCAAGAAAATCTGTTTCTGGAGTTTGAACTGGTTTATACCACGTTTTGCTTAGATAAGAATTAAAGAAAATAATTACACTTTATATTGAATTTTATGGTACGTTATCTTTAATTGGAAAAATGTTATCTACAATATTACAAAATGCGATTGACGAAACAAAAACTCTGCTATACGTATACCCGGCATAATATTCCTAGGATCAATGAAATCAATGGTGTGCTCTCTTTTCTATATTATTAAATATCATCAAATTTCATATATATCGTAATTACCTTTTTCTTTATTATCTAACCCAAACCTCATCCAAACAAGTTCAAACCCAAAGACAAACCGAAAATTGAACCCGAAGGATACAATATACTACAGTGTCAAAATAATTTCTATTTGTATCTCAGAAATTAAAGCTCAACGGTAATTATATATGTGGCGGCACTTGACAGCAAATACCACCACTCGACATTAACTAGTGTCGGACGACGGCAGTGGTTAGCGCCTTAGGCTACAAACGTTCGGGACCCGGGTTCGAATCCCGGGTTCGAGTCCTGTTTTTCTTCTACGCATCAAAAATGGAAGAAAAAACAGCAGTACCCCATCAGCGACATCCTACAGTCAGCAGTGTTACAATTATCACGAACAACACTCCTCAAATTGGTGACCCTGACGTGATCAACAGCGAAAGCTGTGACCTGTGATAGCGCTACTGAGACTTACTCCCATCATCGCGAATCTAATCCTGTGGCAATCTGGTGGACCTACCGCTACGACGAACACGGGAAAACGGCCCTTCCATCTTTAACAAACCTCGACACTTCACCTCCGATCGATGCACAAATGCAGGTGACAGGATACGAGACGATGACCAAGTCAGGAGTGATGTTGGCCATTGCAAAGTTCCATGGGCATCATCACCAACACATCATACTAAAAAATGGAACAGAAGTCCAAAAAATGGACCCGAGTTCGAACTTGTAATCGCGAATCGAAATTAGTAACCGCTAGTTTTACGCCACGTGTACACACAGAATATATTGTTAATAAATATTTATTGTTAAGTATATTCGAGTGTTTCTTCAGTACCTATCACGACATATCACCTCATATATATATATAATTAAAATTACTCAGAATGCTGACCTCGACGACGCATATCAAGGCCAATGAAATTAACGAGATGTGAGCCTTTTCTATATAATCGCCAAAAAGAGAAAAGGAGGAAGTACAAATTGAAGGGGTAGAATCGATCGATCATAGACGAATTACTGCGATGCAACGGGACGGACACTTTCCATATTCCAGCAGCGTCATGGTAACGCGCGTCTCATCGAACCGTGCGAAATTACGATGCCCTATTGTTCATAGATACCATTATTACCATTACAAGGTATCATTATCGATGGATAGATCGCGCAGGCATTCATATTCATGGCCGATCCGATAACTGTAGTCCGTAGAAGCTAAACGAGAGGGTGAAAGAGGGATTTCGATGGGTGATCAGCCTGCTCACTACGAAAATCGTTCGTTTTCAACCGTATCGATCGTTACCTCGACTCGCATTAACGGCGTCAATCACGTCCCTCCTGGCTGATTAGGGATGCAGTTACGTGTTTACCATGGACTATCTATTCATGAAACGATCGACAGGGAAACACTCGCTTCCTGCTCGATACGAGTGAAAAAATTTCAATTCTGTGCAATGTCGTTGCGCGACACACGCGACAATTTCGCGTGATTTGTAATAGATCGAGATGAGTGTACGATTTTACGAACATACGTATAACAATTGTCGCGTGTTGGTGCGCACGGAGATTAGAATTAACCACTGGAATGACTATACAGTACTGGCCATTTTATCAACAATCAAAATTTATATTTTTCATCTGTCTAATAAAATTGAGAGACTTCGATATTGCATGAAATTAATATGTCGTATATTTTGAGAAATTTGGGATTTTTCTTTTCAAATTGTAGTGCTGTGGACAGAAATAAGCGTCAAAGTGATTTGTGTAAGCATCAGATATTTCTAATGAGGTCTGACTATGAAAGGAAGATTTACGTCAAAAGAAATCTGTGATATCGTGTGTAATCGCTGTATATACATGATCGTCTACGTGTTTAATAGTAATTTACATAATCAAAAACAATTTGTCGCTTATAACATAGTGTAGCGATTAAAACTTTTACCTGTAACCTTTATTCGATGACTAGGGACTGTGAAAGTCCTCTAATGACGCTTAAACTTTATTGCCGCGGAGTATAAGATTATCCGTATAGAACGGTTCATAAGCTGATACATTTGAAAGGTTTTAAAACTTTTACTATTCAGAGAGACAAACGAATGGATTGAATAATTAAATCATTAAGAATTTCAAAAACGTACGCTTAAAACCTTGCTCTGCATTTCGATAGTTCAAATATTCCAAGAGCTTAAACCATTCAAAAATTCCACCCTCTATCATTCTTCATTCGCAAATCTCAATTATCCGCATACGTTCCAAAATCTCGATCACCTATCCTCCAACAGAATTCCACGAATATTCCAGCTGAAATAAAGCAGAATTACCCATTCTGCGTCGATACGACGAACCATAATCAAAACGATCCTATTATCCTAAATATGCTTCCCCTAAGTCTCTCGACCAAATAAAGTAAGCATTATTGTTAAGTGTATCTACATAACTCCGAAATTATTAGTATCTAAATTTATGTTTCTGAAGTTTGACGTCAATTTCTTACAACACTCTACATATACTGTAGGTTACAAAGTGTAAAAATGACAAAGAGAAAATTGGAAGGAGGACAGAAAGGATAACTTAGAAAAATCTTTGGCAGACACAAAAGTCAAGTGACTATTTATAAAGAGTACAAAATATTTACAAGAATGACTATAATAGCTAGCGTCCACAGTAGATAGTAACGAGATAAGCTGACATCTAACCTGCAGCAACATTTCTGATTACTTAACAACGTCGACGAAAACACAGTGGTGGTTCCGCATGGCAGTGCGCTCATCTGCATAAAGGCCGACTGCATGGGATGACGAGGCCGAATGAGAGCTGGCGTGTAATAATGTCGTCAGTTTCGCGAAGGTTTATTGCACCGCCGTGTAGCCGCTTGCAGGAGAGACTTAATATCGTCGGCTGTAAGCCGGTCCGTAATATCGAGCCGACTCGTTTTCTACCGCGTTTCGTTTCCGCGGCAATTCCGCTGACACAACGAGAATCGCGTGCACGCCGCGTGCATGCCTGCCCGGAGATATTTGTCCGCTTCGGACGCACAGCCGAGGAATTCGTGTCGCGGACAATCGGGACCTGATCGATACACGAACGCGAACCAACCACCAACGAACGCCTCGTTGTTACCCGAACGAGAGTCAATACGACGGAGAAATTGGAAGCTGTCGATGCACGGTTCGTTCGTTTTTCAACGATAGAGAGACTATTTTCGATCGTTTTGGAATATTTATCAATGGGAATTTTGGATGGTTATTTAGTGCAAGTGATTGAGATTTGTAGATGGGCTAGGTGTCTGACATTAGGATGTCAAAGAAAAATGGAAAGTTTGAGGTTGATGTGACTAAACGTCGTTGTATGTTTTGGGAGTGTCTGCTGAATGTGATTTTGCTGAAGTGTGTAAAAGAGATTGTTAAATAGAAATGCGCGAATATTAGAATCATACCTACTGCGTGGAACATACGTGCCTGGCGATATAAAGACAGATCTTATTACGTGAAAATGATTCCTTGGCACAGTAGAAAATGAAAATCGTATCCGCAACCTCGTTAGAAAAGTAGTATACACTAACCGAACATAATATAAATGTAAAATGAAATTTTATCGATCAGAGCGTTTATACGTACAGATATTTGCAATTGACGTTTCGAGAAGTCTGGCACATGTACCTGCAAGTTTTTATAAATAAGCCATATGAAATCCAATTTCTCGTCAAATATACCACTTTAACGGTCCTTCATTACCCAACAAACTTTTCATTTCTAGCTACTACATCGAAGCTCATGAAACTTTCCAGTAGACTGTAAATTGGAAAAAAGTGAAATGGAAAACTGCTTTGAAAAATCGAACAGCCACTACCAGTTCTATGGATCGATCCCGGAAATCAGCGGACCTCGACCAATCGGCATAAAGAACCCATCCCGTGGTTCGATCGCAGAAAGCTTTGATACGCTTCGTTCGTCGGTTGGTCAGAAAGTACGCTTCACACGAGTTGCTGGGTACTCGCAAATTTTAAAATAGCAAAGTATACTGTATGATTAGTAAAAGTATGTGATTAGAACGAACGATGAGTATAACACGAGACTATGCTATGTTACTAGAAACGTCGTTTAGCATTCATTTTATCATGGACGAATTCTACCGAGATGCGAAAAATCTCGAACCAACATCCTCATTTTCCTTCTACAAGGAACAAGAAAATTGTGATGCAAGAAAATTCTATTCCTGATAGATCGAGGCTAACCAGTAAAGAACTGTTCCTTTTCTTAAATATCCATAACGACCACCTCAGAATATTGAAGCGACATACTCGACATTAAAATTGGCAGAAATTAAAGGTAACAGTAACAATTAGTTGCATATGTCTCGTGACTTCGCGAATGAACGTTGCGTTGATTGCTATCGAGGTACAGGAAGAAATTCCGAATTCTTCGTTAATCCTAGAAAGAATAATTTGTCTAGCTATAAACGAAATTAAAACGAATTATGGTAAAAATACTTATAAAAAGTCTAACACTCAAAAATATCAAAGAAATCGTATCCGCGCCGTACATTCGGCTTGGAATTAACTGTTGCTAACACTTTCGCGGGATTTTGTTCGATCTATTAAAAGCAATAGATGACATTTCCTAGTTGAACCCTCGTAACTTCCTCCGCCCCTGGATACTTCGCGATTCCCGGGACTTTGTGTATTTTGACGGGGGTGTTAACTGACCCCGTGGCTCACGGAGGCAGCGCGAAGGAGGGGTCGTGCTCAAGAGCAGAAGAGGGTGGCATTAGGTCGAGGTCACCAGGACGCCGAAGCGATCGATGCAGCCCGCCAGGCAGCACCACCCACGCTTCAACCCTCTCCGCTTTCTCCCTCCGCCGAGAAATCTTCACTCTTCTCTCCGGTGGAAGCCGAATACACCGATCTCCGACTCTCGATTCTCTCACTCTCTCTCTCCCCTCGCCATACACCAGACTGGTTCATTATGTTTCTATTTACGTCTGGTTGCATTTAGGCAGAGACGTCCGGGAAAAGACTCGCGCTCGGGTTCAACACGTGGATGCTCCATATCCGAGCTTCGATCAGCTGTTTTCCCGGGGCGTCGACGCTTCCAGATTCAGCTACGCTTCGAGAGGAACGAATGCAAGCTTCGAAATGAAATAATTTTTAAAGGAACGCGGAGCGTTAGGAATTCTTTGTGATTCCCTCGCAGATGTTGACGCATCCACTGCGTCGATTCAAATATCGGAAAGCCTTTTGTATTTTAATTTTTGTATGCTTGGGCGAAATAACTTAGAGAGTCAAACAAAGTACAGAGCAACGTACTGAAACGAAGGTTGTTACTTAAAATGAAGATATTTTTAATGAAAGAAAAATGCACTTTGGGGTAGGTATTTGTATTTTAATAGCAGTGAATGAGGAAATAAGGAAATATAGTGGATATTATTAAATAAATTATCGTGGCAGTATTTCAATGGTTGTTCTGAAAGCAATAAAAACTACTGAAATATGTACAAAGATGCATGTATCAGTGACTTTCTATTTTAAGATATCAGTTTACGTATCTACATCGAAAATAACTTGAATATGAAATCTTATTTCGATAATACGAAGTCTGATCGAAATTGTTATATACATAGGTACAGAGTCAGAAGTATGTCACTCTATGTCGAATATCATATTGCATGACGATAACGTAGATATCGCTATATTTGCTATTTATGTGTAGTACATCGAATCGATACTGTTCATATTTGAAGATATTCCGAGAACAGAATCCGAATCGTTTTAAGACTCTGCTTCAAATAAATTCCTACGAATGGAACAAGGTCATCCAAATAGAGTAGCTCAAATCATACAAAATTCAACGCACAAAAAATCAATTGCCTTCTTAAACTAATTTAAACTATCCTAAAATACTTCTAATTTCATATAGATGTATCAAACTTTCAAAAATCTATTTAAATCAAAATGAATGAATACTACCTTCAAAAATTCTTTTCTACTTCAACTTAGTCGCGTTTACGAACTGTCGATCGAGTAGAGTAGCTGGCAGGAGGGTGCGCATGATTCGCTTAAGCTTAAGGTGTGCTTTCAGAGATGGCAAATAACTTTACATGAAATTGACGAGCAGAAGGAGCGATTCAGCCACTCCTTGCGTTTGTTATTTCAAAGCGCCCGTAAAACCGCAATTTACGAGGAAGAGAAACACTTCGATTTCGAGCTCCGTAACGTCTCGACGGTTTTCCATCGAATTTACGCGAAACCGCGAAACGAATCCATCACGACCGATTACCGATCGGAAGGACTCATTTCGAGTTGAATTTTACTGACGACGAATTTTTAACAGACGAAGGTCGCGTCCCGTCGTCTTGCCTGCCGCGTGTTGTTTGGTTTCCAAGGCCTCTTCTCCCAATACTCGCGACGATCTCCCTCTTTTCTCGTTCTCTATTATCTTGTAAATGTCCTGATCGTTTCGAATCAGCCGTTTATCCCTTGAGAATTGTTAACGACCTAACTCAGCGGAGATCACGTTCACGTTCTACGATGACGCCGGTTCTCCGAGTGATTTCTGCGTGACCTAATGCGACTCATACCATGCGAACAAGCTTTACGCGTTATGACGTGAGTACGCTTGGAAATGTTGAACGAATGATTTATAAATTTTAAATGGGAAATTGCTTCGACTTTTTTGATAGTAGAGGAATCTCTTTGATTGTTTAAGAGGATATTTTTAGCCGTTTCTACGCACGATTGTTTTTAATTATTATATTTCACCGACTTGAGAAATCGAAGAGCATCGCTCGAACAATATACAATAATTAAGAAATTGAAATGATAAATGATTTGTGGAAAATAAAAGAATGAAAAATTATTTTCTTAGTGAAGGAAAATGTAAATTTCACGTGGAGTATAGCAAAAGAGGTTATGCTAGTTTAACTTCTAGAATCGTAAGATAAAGATATGATTATAAATGATTGAAAAATATGAAAGTATAATTCCCAAATAAATAAATTGACTACTCCGATATATTCAGTTCCTATATCTGCAGAGATCGCAAACGCTGAAAGTTAACGTTACGTTTTTTTATGTTGTTTCTATTGTTTTTACTTTTGACGCTAATTAAAAATAAATATAAAACATAAAGAATGAATCGCAAGTCTTTATGATAGTCGTTAGGTCAGTAATTTCACGATCAGAGAATTTAAAATTCTAATGGAAAGATTATGAAAGATTAGAGACTTCTGACATTTCTAGGAGGAATCTAGAAGTTCTGTATCCAGTGAAGACGATTCTTGCTTCTTCTCGGAACTCGATCTGTTAAATCCGAGGTACCATCCAAGATATCCAAGGAAAATCTTAATAAACATAAACAATACGTTTATATAAGTAATTTTTTACAGACGTTCTTATCAAAAGTCGCGGTATCTGCATCATAATATAATAGGAACTAAGAATCATTCAGCAAACCATTTCGAAGCATCCAGAAGGAATTCTAATCACTGTTGCTGTTTTGCAAGCTACGATCACGTCGAAACAAAATTACGTAAGTGATGTAAGTGGAAATGGTATGCCATGTATACATTTTTTCGTACATTAACTTACACGTTAGTTTATTCTGAATATGTTTCAGTATACGATAAAGTAGTTAAAAGTACCAAAAACAATCGTGCATCGAGTTTTCAATATTTTCCGGATTGTAGTCATCGAAAGAAGCATGAGGTAATTTATTTCTAACGAACTATATCCTGAAATATCGAGGAATTAGCCAATTCGTAGAAAACGACACAGGTTGTTAAAAATAACAAGCAGTGCGACAGAATTGTAACCATATTCACAAGCTTCCATTTACGTCACTCGACATCATGTATCGGGTTTTACCAGTAAAAATATCTAGAATCCGAAAGTGCTCCGAGGTACATTTCGGGCTTTGAACTTTAAAACCGTTTTTTGTAACGTATTGCTGGCCCTGTCGTCGTTGAAACTCAGTTTTCGAAAGAATTTTAGGCCACGAATAGAAAATACTATCGGAGTGTACAATAAAAATAAGTTGGAAAAAAAGAAATAATTAGTGGAACATATATGCATATAATATAATATATATCGCAGTTCGTAGTTGCAATTATAGAAGATATAAAAGTCAAGAAATTTTTATAGAAATTTAATAAGAACAATCACACAGAGAGATATTACATTAAAGACGAAAAGTTCCATTCTTTCATTTACTTTCATCCCTATATTCTCACGACCCAGGTAACCTTTGCCACGAAGAGGTCTTCCAGCGGCAGCAAGGATTTTAGCGCCAAATCTCCTACGAAACTTGGGTAATTATCCAAAAAGTTTGGCGAGTCACGTGCACGTACTTAAATCACGTATACTTGTAACACGTATCGTTATAACAACGCCTAATGTATTCCCTTGACAACAGGAGGGGAAAAAGTACGCCGCGAATAATTCGTGCAATCCGTCAACGAAGTAGAAAATGTAAGTTGTTAAATGTAGACATTTTCAGTCTATCTGTACAATTATCGCGCATTATTTAACTCATTTAATTCGCGCGTTCGAGTTTTGGGGTGACTACGGAATGATCGTTGGAAATCCCACTAAAAAGATATCAAACGTACATGAATTGTTATTAGGCATTAGTTTCAATCAATTTTGTTTTATCAAATTTTGGAAATTGATACAATTCACGATAAAAGATTTTTATTACATAAACGCGCATTCACATATCCGCCAATTAACGAATTGTAAAATAAGAACACAATGATAGAATATAATTAATAATGAGATTACATCTAATAGAAATTTTTGTGTAGTAAACGTTTGAAATTTCAAATTTCGTAGGAAAATGTATAAAATAACGAAGCTTGAATATTCCGAACATTTTCAAAACTGGTTTTCTCGATTTTTATAGCAGTTCCATGATTCTGGTCATCCCCAAGGCCCGAAAACCCTGAAACTCGCGTTTCTCGATCCGCTGCCCCCTGATTCCATGTACTTGTTCCTCTTTGCGTTATTCCTCTTCGCCTATGTGTTCCTCGGGAAGGAACGTGATAATACACAGGTGAACAGAAAGGGGACAGCGGTTCGAACAGCGGCCACGCACTCGGAACTCGCGCGGCCAGCATCCTCGCGAAGAGCATCGCTTTAATTCCTGGGCGGTTCGTAGTCGAGCCAAACGAGGATCGATCGGAATCACCGCGACCCGGAAACAGCAAGAGCAGCGTCGTTGTCCTGTATCACGAGAAATCAGTCGCGCCAGCCGCAACAACCCCCAAACCACCCCTCAGAGCCGTTCAGTCGGAACGAACAGTTACGCGCGAACTGACTCCATCGGTTGTCCACACTGTTCGATCCCCACGTCACCAAAGGTAATTATGAAGATAATGATCGTGGATATTGCGGCTCTGATATCGAGATGTTAGGGTTTTCGATAGTTCGCGATCCGTTTAGGGAATAATTTACTATACAGGTGATATAGGTTATTGATCATGTATGATTTGATGATATTTCGACAAATAGCATAATTAGATCACTTCGTGTTTGTACAATTAATTTGTACAGCTTAATTTTTTTATTATCAGATTGGTTAATGTTATATAAGATTACTTACCAATACTAGTCAGTTGTAGTTTATAAATTACAGCTTCTCAGATCTTACGAATGATATTAGTTTAATTCTTAATTAGGGTTCAAAACGTTGCTGCGAATGTTCAAAACAGTGAAACACGTTATTATTATCGTTAGTTAAATATGATTAAACACACAAATAGAGCTCTAAATATCAAATAATTTCCCCTAGGAAATAAGATTCTCTTAGACTTGCTTCGAAATCTTCTTAGGAATTTATGAACCTCCTAAGTTAATTAAATTTCCGACAATTCCAAGACGTCCACGCGAGCTTAAGTCGAAAGAGGATCAAAGCTCCTCTTCCTGGTATCAAAACAAAATGATCGAATTTTCGAAGAAATCCGAGAAATTTCTCTCTTTTCCCTTCGGACAGGTCGAATCTGGTTGGAAGTCCAGAGCACCGACCTCCCATATATCTAACTGACCGAAGAAAAGCTACTTTAAGACGTCGACGTTTATCGAAGCGGCGAAGACCACTCAACGTGCACATTTATCAGGACAGCCGCGTAGTACAGGCTCGTTCCTTGTCGGAGGATCATCGTGTCGGACCTAAAGAGGTGCAGCTAGCGGAACAGAGATCCGATCTGGTTAAATACACGGTCAAGTCTGCGAAAAATTTGATTAGATCCGAAGGGGACTCCTCCACTCGACAGGACGACGATTCGGATGACCCCGATCAAGATAGAAGAACGAACAAACAGTGGAAACACGATAGAATCTTCGGGGAACGATGTTGTCCCTCTGATAATTCCGCTTCTAAACTAATGGCTCGTTCCAGGTAACGAAATTATATTGTACTTTGATACGATGTTAAGGAAAGGTTATTTCAATAGAATATGATTTTTAATTTTGCAATGTTACGTTCTTTAACTCGCATATTTTTCTGAAACATTGGTTACTACTGTTTCGTATCTTTGTTTTATTCGTAAATTCTTTGATAAAATGACGAGTGAAATGACGGAAGTAAAAATAAATATTTGTTAATATAAAGTACAAGTTCTGCTTTACTATTGTATACGGATAATAGTCAACATTCGAAAGCTATAATATGATTAGAGTTGTGAGCAGAAATTGATCGTAATATACAGTAAACCTTGATAATAATGTGAAGTGTCCGTAAATCAACGTTTATAATCAAACTTAACATTTGATAGCCCTTGCTATTAGTCTGAACTAATTACTACCTACCACGTTTAACGATCCATAATTACAGCATTTAGTAGCTCTTAACCATTACCTTTAGAGATCATCAATTGTATTCAACGTTAATGGCGTATACATTCGACCAACGTTATGAATTATAGACGTTGATCATAAAAATATACAAAATAGTATCTTGATTTATGAAACTACCCTCATGAAAGATAAAGACATACATAGAAACACTATACTATAACGTCACATAGCATCAAACAACATTAAACCTTATCTACTTCAAACAGTGCGAAGGATTAAAATTATTCGCACCGTGCAAATTAGTTAAGGAACATCCAATTTTATTTGTCTCAAATAATTAAAACGCGGAACAAAATTATTGATTTCAAGTTAATATAAATTACATCATCCAAATTAATCAAATAATAAAGTGGCGATTAAAAAATAAATCAATTTGCATGAAAGAAGATATATATGAAAGACTAAACGATAAAGAAGAGAAGCTAAAAGAATAAAAGTACATAAAATAAGATTAAAAAAAAATCAAAAGATGCGTTTCGCAGTCCAGGAATAGACGGCGATTGCAAGCAACGCAAAAACGAAGCAGTCGGCCCAAACTTCAGCTATCTAATGCAGCAAATACATACAAGGCCAAGGGAACGAGGTGACGATCATCGTGTATTTATTGGCGTAAACGGCGGCGACAACTCGAAACGAGTATTTCCATTCCAGGCAACCCCGAGCGGTAACTTGAAGATCGTTCCTAATCAGGTAAATGTCCCAATCGGTCCTTGGGTCGATAGATACTCGTCGAACCTTAGGAATGTTGGCCTCAAGGCAGACGCGTAGTCATTCTAGGTGGTGTTCGAATCGAAGAAGGTCAGTGTGTTGGTTGCTGATCCCAGACATACAAAGGTTAACGTCAAGGCCGAATTGAATACAACCCAAAAAGAGCTTGGTGAACGCATATCTGAGTCTTCCACACAACCGAGGTCCATCGATTTTCCACTAGGTGTAGTATCGTCATCGACGATCAATCAGTTGCAAGTAGGTTCGGTATTATAACTTTCGTTCGATACAAACTGGTATCAGTTGTGGCGTGGCTATACAGAATGCAAGCGGCAAAACAAGTGATGCGGCCAATTCCAATACTCTAAATGCCAATTTAGCCGCTTACCGCTTACCGCTTACCGCTTCTCTGTATAATTACGGTCTTAATCGATCGTTTTCACGTACACGAGCGCGTGGATGAGGTTAAATTTGGATTAGGTTTCTTTTGACTAGAGATCAAATACTCCAGAAGCCGGTAAAAGCTATTACCGAAAAAAGGTTTACAGTTTCAAATCATGACTCGCGAAGTTATAGATAAAAAAGTATTTAATTTTACTCAAATTCTTTTAACTTTCAACCGAATTCTCTGAATAACGTCATTGACATACTTCGACCAAAATTAAGTTGTAATACAAAAGAAACCTAACAATATCCTTATCACCACCGACTACCTACCATCCATCATAGCTACTTAAAAATAATGTTTCGTTTCTAAACAGAGTCACAAAAAGTTTCCGGTTGTCGAGGACAACTATAAACCAGCAATGCATCCGTTCAAAGCTAAATTCGGCCAAATGGAGGCGATGGAACACAAGCAACAACAGTCAACGTCGTCTGCGTCTCACGAAATACCAGTGTTGCAAGATGTGCCACTGTCCACGTGAGTTTTATTGGTCGATCAAGCCAAAACCATGTTAGCCACGAACGCAGTAAAAGGAGAATCAGGTCGACGTAACATTACAAGGGAAAACGATACAAAGTTTATTTATTATCGCGAACCAAGACATTTCCATAAAATTACGTCGTCCCGTATTTTTCTTTCAATCGTAAGGAAAACCAACTCGCCCAACGCGAGGTATATACTCGATGTTTCTCAATAAACTGTTTGATCGTCGTGTAATTTCGAGCAGACTCGGATTTACGAGTGAACAACCAATCGATTGGGATAACATAATTCTCCCGGAGAAGACTGACCTGTATCAGGAGCTAGCCAGGCGTATCACAAATTACAAGTAAGCTTATAGTTGTACCCGATCGATGTAACGAAGTCGAGCATCAACATACGACATGATTACGGGCTAAATTTCATTCGATCGATCTTTCGAGGAACGCTGACTGTATCGTGCGAATCGATCAGGACGAGTTCCATTGCCATCTGCTGGTGCTACAGAGCTATAGTACCTTTTTCGACGAGAAGAATTGCAAGGAAATCGATCTGACCGAGGTAAGTTATTGAACTTTTTATCCTGTAAGTAACGCCACCTCATCTTCCAACTCTGCTGGGAATCACTGATAACTGCGCATTGCCCGTGTGAAGGTAACTAAGCCACGTGTTTTTTACTTGAAAAGTTCAATTTACTAAAAAGCTGGTACTTCTGCCATGCAGAAGATACTGTAAGAAACTTAAAAACGATTGAATTTTTATATCAGTTCTGTAACTCATTATTCATTGATCCGTCTAAGAGTCATATTGATTAACTCTAGAAATATGGAAGCATAGAAATGTGGCGATATTATAAACTTTATTTTTTGGAATTTACTTTATAATCTATTATTACCTATGCTATCTTCTTACAATAAGCAAACTCGAGCTGTTTTTAATCGTCTAACTGCATAATGCAATTAATACATTTGCAAAATGTGAAGTCGATCAGTTTGGCTTGCGAGAGCCACGACACAGCGAAACCCAATCCTTTTACTTCCATTTTCAATTCTGCTCGCCAACCAACGATCCTGTGAGCGACAGAACGATCCGCGCGATTTTTCTTGCCGCGTGCTGTCATTTATTCAGAAAATGGAAGGCACGCGAACGAAAATTCCCCGTAGCTTTCACGAACACTCGACCGTCATCGATCTTCATCCTTTAACGAGGCGCGTTAAACGAGTCGTAACCACGGATCGCGAGACGTTCCTTCGCCCACTGATACCCTTAACGCTGTCGTATCGTTCCACCGTGCAATACGATAACGTTAAGGGTATCCCATCGGGAATTTATTACCCGACAGAAGCGGAAAACGACGCACGTCCCTTGAGTTTACCCCCGGAAAAAACGACACATTATACATGCTTGCACCGAGGAAGATATATTACGGACTTATCGGTACACAGAACAGTCTAGCGAATTCGGAATAAAGTCCTTTTGTTCGCGCGATCCGATTTTCCGCTTCCCCTTCCATCTCTGGATGTGTATCTGTGGTCCATGTTCGATCGTGCGCCAATCGTCGTTCATCTTCGCCTCCTCGCCTTTGTCCACGTTTTCCCACTCGAACATCCTCTTATTTCGTTTCTTCTTTAATGATTTTTCCCGATAAACTGGCCATTTACTATTCTTTTTGCTTCCACTCGAAATTCGTTGATCTTCCCAGGTATACGACATCTCGGAGAAAGGATTTTTTATGCCAAATTTTTAGTATAAGGAAGAAATTTTTGAGTTTGATTTTATATCTCGATGTTTCTAGTATTGAAGAGTTTTAGAAAAATTTTGAATCTTTTCAGTATTTAACTTTCAGATGGTGTAGTGCAGGCCAAATTACTGACAGACATATCTTTTTCTATATGGTTTTTATTCTTTTCGTCAGAATACATAGTTACGTGATAAAATTGAGAAATTGGTAAAAGATGAAGTTGGACAGTTTGACTTCTGAGAGGATCGATTTAATCCTAGATTCCAATCATCTACAACTTTTCGTTATATCACATAAATGCCAGAAATCTGTCCTCGATTAAACTGGCTTATATTCTCAAAAACCGACGAAACGTCATAATTCAGCGGGATTTAAGCAAGTTGCATTATTCTGCCTTTCGAGAGACCGACCACTAGATATTCATAAATTACTACTTTCGCAATTGTTCGTCGACGATAATGACAACCGAATGAATATACGAGGGTATGAATCATTGGTGGTGGAAGCGGCGAGATTCAATAAATTTCCCAATGTCGAGACTTGGAGATCGCCAAGTAGGCAACCAGCGAGAACACAAGGGGTTGCTAGCGACCCCAATCTCTCGTGTCAGCATCCTGGCCCCTCGTTTTCAGTTCTCCACCGGTGACTCGGTGGGCTTGAAGCCAACCGACCTTGAACTCTTTTTTTGTCTTCCCTAGCCAAGGCTATATTTGACTCTCTTTTAACTTAAGGATGAATAGCAACGCTCGAGTAACAGCACCACCACCTGCCGCTCTTTAATGATTACTGCGGGAGCCTCTGCCATTTCTATCGTCGCGACAGCTTTCTCCTTCGCCACGTGTCAAGGAGACGTGTAATTAAAAATAGAAGGACACACGTGCTTTGTAACAAAATAACCAAGCTTTCCTCTCTGCTGAAAGATCGTTATTCCTAGCGTTTCTTACATAAATTGGCCTCTTGCTCTTTCGCATTCGAATAAAGAAGTATAAAGAAAGGACGATGAAATTGCGTATCAGCTAAATTTCGACCTTTATACAAAAGTTACGCTTTTATACGGGAAGAATGATAGAATTACTTTAGAATTATATATGTATTTCACACATTTTTAGTTTTTTATACCTTTATGCAGAAGTCTAAGTAAAGAATGACAAAATTATTTGGAAAATATAATATTAAGTGTATTTTTATTCTTTACGGAATATTTAACTTCTTTAAGTTAACGTGTATGTTTTACAGATCTCTGTTCACTATAGGACGTTTAGTTTTTTCAAATTGATAAGAATTAATAAGTATAGAATGATAATAATTTGAAGAAATTTTGTTGCATCTAACAGAGTGACGTATCTTCGAAGGCGTTTTCGCTCATTTACGACTGGATGATCAGTCCACAGAACGAGAGTTACAGGCTTTTGCAAAGGGACAACATCCTGGAAGTTTTTACCGCAGCCCAATATCTCGGAATTAAAGGTAAGACTGGTAAAAAAATTATCTATCGCTTCCATAAATTTCAAAATTATCTTGATTATTATGCTATTATTATGATTATTATGAGCTATTAGCTCTTTGATACAAGCCATAGAAATACAGTGATAATTAAAATTTTACGTAAAATATATATGTATGTGTGTATAGATTATCCAATTTTGATATAAAATTCTGATTTCAGTATTCATTAATGTACGTTTTAGAAATAATTACAAAATGTATTAAATAAGAATACCGATAAGAGTATAGCACTATAGCGATGAAAGATTTCGTTATCGCATAAATCGTATAAACGTTCTTTCATCTTCATCAACGTGGAAGATTCGTGAACAACGATCCTGTTTACATCGGTGCTTCCAGCATCCTTCCCCATCTCCATCAATCTTTTAAAACGCGACTGCACGCATAATATATAGCCGATGCTTTCTAGCACAGTTTAAAACTTCGAACTCGCTAGCGGAAAAGAATGAAAAGTTTCCAGTACCATGATAGGTATTCGGAAAAGTCTCGACGGTGCCGACCTCGAGTTTCGTTGAATACGTCACTGTCCAACTTGAAACTTCAATAAACCATATGAGATCTCGGAGAAAATGGTGGTGCATCGTGTCTTCGAGCAAAACACGCGGAAATCCAAACTTCCTCTCTAAAAACTATGTTGCTAAGATCTATATTTTTCACGTTCAGAGAATGTATTCTTGATAGAAAAGATATAACGAGGTCGGGAAGTTAATAAAAAAATACACGAATTTTGATCACCGAAATTTGAAGAAACCTAATGGAATATCTCTTATCAATGCTCGGGTCTTTACAGACATAAGATGTCAATTTAGAACTATATATATACCTGTCTTTTTGCAAGAACAAGTTCATTTTTACTATTATTGCAATTAGAGTGGAATATAGTTAACGGAGCTATTAGTATAGCTACAGTAGGAGGCGATAAATGGTTAATAAAGGTAATAAAAACAACTAAGTGAATCAGTATATTCATCTAATGCTTCAATTTATGACTTTATTATACCTTTTCCATTTAGAGTACAATGAACGACGAACTATGAAAAAGAGAAACATCATAGTGCAATCTTTTTAATTCTCATGCCTTTCTCGATTCTTAACAGAACTGGAGGAACAATGCTGGGCTTTCATAGACAATGACGAATTATTCGCCGAAGACACCGCGTTTTTATTATATCTGGAAGCGAAAAGAGTTGGAAATACCGCAGTTATGGAACTGATGGTGCCGAGAATTATGAAATTCTTTTTGATGCTGGTCAGCACTAAAGATTTCCTCGAATTATCCGTAGATGAACTATGCCTTTTATTGAAGTCTAACTATATCTGCGTCAATAGGTAATCGATTACTGATGTGTACAGATAAAATAATATATTTTTCCTTACTTCTGAATTTTTAAACTCTAGTGAAATGGAAGTTCTTATGTCTGCTGTACGATGGCTGATGCATGATTGGGCGAACAGAAAGCAGTACATGTTGGAAGTTTTGAACTGTGTTCGATTTGGGTTGATCGCTCCATGGCAATTGGTAGATGTGAAAAGAAATCCAGAAAACCCAGAATTTATGGAACTAATGTCTTCTCCTGAGGTACAGAAAATGGTCGATGATGGTCTAGCGTAAGATTTAAATTTCTTTTCATTTATAGATGAAGACAAAAAAGAGCCTTTTTGTATTAATTTAAGCCTTTTCAGTTTCGTTATTATAAAATATTGGTACGGTAACCAGACGGAAGATTATTATCACTGGATCGATCTGTTAGGGCTTACGGAGCCAACCAATCGAAATTGGGCTGGAGAGGACAAGGTACTTAAACTCTACGGAGATCGTGATACAATAACTTTAATCCATGCCTACAGTAGCGAATTTTGCCTAAGAGCATCAATTTAAGTGTTTTCGTTCAACGCACAAAGAAATTCAAAGTTATATTTCCTCTTTCAAGAACTACGTAACGTATCGAGAATTTTTGCTTTACCTCGAAGAATATCAGAAAACAAAAATTTCGGAGTTGAAAATGCGAAAGAGTCGCGCAAAACCCAAGATAATCGATTCACCTCACAACGATTACACATTTGCTGCTCCTAAAGCACCGAACAACTACGTTCAAAGCTCAGGTATAGTGAATGTCACATTAAAATAAAAAATATATGAAACGAACTTTTTAACGTGGAATTTAACGAAATTGAATCCTTCAGGAGATACCGGTGCTATTCACAACGGGCCAGCAATGCATTCAAGGCACACGAAACCACTACCTTCAAATTATTTACCATTGGAGATGCCAGAGGGCATGATGATGCCTCCAAAATTTATGAACGAATACTTAAGCAACTTGGAAAGAAGCAAAGGGGTGAGTAACCCTGGGGCGAATCGGAGATCGACGCAGAAACCTCAAGATGGATCGATTCACTAACCACCTCATTGAACGAAATTGCAAAATCGTGGCAATGATACTTTTAAATAATTTTAGACTTCATTTTATCAATCGAGAATCGAAGATTCTTCGTGTCATAAGTTTGCATAGACAACAAGCATAATCAATGAAATTTTGATATTATATGTCAAATATTTAATCAGTATATCGTATATCGTATTTATTTATTGAACTTCAACTTATATAAGAAAATATACGTTCATACGTGAATTTCACAAGAAGTGCATATAATATTTTCACAATTCACGCGATCTCGAGGTGATTTAGTAAAACAGGTATTGAAAGTAATAAAAGTTGTCGCGGTATAGCTGTGAACATTCAACGGTGAGTCGTTTTGCAATTGAGTATCGAAACAAGAATCTGAGGTCAGATTTGTGTCCGTTTCAAAAGTTGCTCTGCTTACTTTCCAGGGATTATTACGCGGTTATCGTCAAAAGAAATCTCGAGGTAAGCTTACGTGCTTGTAAGTGGAAATGATAAATTTCACTGAAGGAACAAAGTTGAATCACGGAGTAGGGTAAAAATCAGGGAGCTGTAGTCAAAGGTCAGAGTTTATGTCGTTCGAAAATCCGTGCTTTAATTCGGAAACCCTCGCGTACAGGGTACCACAAACCATTATGCACCACGCTACTCATGGAAACAGCACTTACAACGTATAAGCTCTTACCTTGAGATTACACAGACCCCGTACCAATTTAGTATTTGTTAATTGAGTCAAAACGGCCGCATTTGCATAAACGTTTGGGATCGTAGGTTAAACTGGAGCACGATGATGTGTACTTGCGCTGCTCTTGTTATAAATTTACAATTGTCAAGCAACTATATGAATCTCGCTTTTGTGATATTTGGAAAATTTCCAACTGTTAATGTAACATTTTCTTCTTTCTTTTTCAATTTTTGAGGTTGAAAAATTTCCAAGTCTCAAAGTACTTTTAGGTCTCTATTTTGAAATTTATTATTATGCTCGTTTCTTGATAGATGAATTTTGTTTGTTTTGTTTGTTTGAATGAGTTTCCATTGAAAATGAAGTTGATCAGTTTAATTTCGAGGAGACTTTATGCATTATTCAATTATTGTCACTCAATCATTGTTACAGATAGAAAAATTGCAGGCACATGATTGTGACTGTTAAATAATTTGAGAACTAAGCATCACTGAACGACCGGCTTGTTAAACGAAACTATTACCATCACTGAATCACGAACAACTACAAAATGATCTATAAAATATTTATGGATCATAGATTACCTAGTTAGGACATCCCTGACCCACATATGACTCACCGAACAGTGAACGCGTTGAGCTTACAACAATGAAAAATGAGCACAATCTTTGTCACCAATTTAACACGTAACTAGCTAAGATATGTCAACAGTCTGTGCCACTAAGTTTTTAACAAATCACTTTATGTTCATCAAAATATCAAATTAGTTTAACAACATCCTCGTTGCTCCAGAAATAAACCAACGAATTCCAAAATAAACTTTATTTACAATTGGATACTAAAATTTGATTTATGATTCTATTAGGTTGTGTAATAAATTCGTTCGCATTTCGTTATAATACAATTAACATTATGGGTATAATAAAAATTATAACGAGTATTTTTTTATGATATATGCACTTTCCAATTTCGCATAAATGCATAAAAATTTATAATCTACTAATATGTACAAATACTAACAATCAATGTTTGCACTGAGAACTCGTAGTATTATTTTTCTTCTCTCATTATTATATCTACATCTATATTACTATATTGTAACATATTCTTATAATGCGCCTCAAAATGTAAGAATGAATGAACCAAAAGATGAACTTATTGCACAATCTAACGTTAACCTGATATTTTACAAAAATTTATATTAAGTTTACTGATTTAGAAAGATGAAAGGAACGTCGCCTTCGATACGAGATTCACCGGTGGCGGAGAATCGCTGAAACTGTCCTGTAGGTTGCCTACAGTAGAAAAATACACGCATGAACACTGTCAACGCGGCGTGAATTCACCGGTAAAGTCCTCGACGAGAAATCTCGTTCGTGAGAAGAAACTTTCTCGGCTCGACGAGACGTTTCCCCCCTTTTTTTTCAGGACGCCGATAAATTGGATTACGAGAGCCGGCAGGAGAGGAATGCGACGGATGTTTGCCGGTGCCAGCAGCAGCGCGAGTCGAATTTCATATTTTCCGTAAGAAAGCAGAAGACGAGATGTAAGATACCGAGGGAACCGGAAGAACGTACAGACTCCTGCAAATCCGAGGAGGAGGCCGCCACAACGATACAGGCCGTTTATAGAGGATACAAGGCTCGAAAGAGATTTGACGAAGTTAGTGGATACATTCGGAAACTTTCGGATTTTTGCTGTTGAGAAAATGTGATTGATTCTTTGATTTCGTCGATCTACTTGATTGGAAGAAGGAAATAGTGGAATTACATCTTGCATAATTGAATTAATATTATTAGCAAATTGTACAATTCACAAATTTCAATTTATCAGAACCAATAGATTCTCTTACACCATTGGAACAAATCTGATAATGAAACAAATGAAATTTCATAAATTACAAATTATCCGATAATTAATGCATAAAAGTTTCCAGTCTACTTATGAATTTTCGAACCTTACTGAATATATATATTAATAATAACGTATTTTAATGTTCGAAAGCACAACAATTTTTCTACTAAATCGTTAAAGAGATATAGTCTAAATAGTAGGATTATACATATTCAACGATCCGTGGCGTATTTCTTCGAGAGTCGACGAGACTATTTTAGAAAGTACAAACACGAGTCGTTTTGTACACGTTGTTCCCTTAAACCGCAGATAAGGAAATCAACATCAGGGGAGAAGCAGAATATCAAGAAGATAGCGGAACTTTTGGCCATCCCGATGGACGAAACGCTTCGCGATCCTTCGATAGAGCCCATCAGAATATCAAGCAGTTCAGTAAACCAAATGAGAAATGAGAAGGACGAAACGCTACTTACATTGAAATGCTCACCTAGAAACAGGAACAGGGAACAATCGGTCCTTCGAAATCAAAATCAACACTACGTTGAGAATCAAATAAATCAAGTAAAAAATAATATTTCCCTTAAAATGTTTTTACAGAACAAAGAAATTTCATTTATTCGAAGAACTCGTGTTTCAAATTATAGTTCAACATATGTCCACCTTGTTACACGACCGAAGAAAAACGAAAACAAAATATGACTCACCGAGAGACATTAAAGTCTATAAAGACCATAAAATCACCGATGTTTTTCTCGAACTACGACGAAAAAACCAGTTCCCCATCGGATAACACAGATGCGGACGATCCTTCCTCTCCACGAATCGGTGCAAAATCAACGATGCTGAATCTCGCCGATGTTATAATCAATGAAAAAAACAGCGAGAAAGATTATTTGGAGAATGATAATATTCAGCGAGTGAATCCTGCCGCTAGAAACGCTCAAATTCGATCTACGAATTATAAACGACCTCTGTAAGTGTCTTTAAGTACCTGATAACTAGGCGGATATTAGATGAATTTAAATATATATCATGGTATCAATAGAAAACGACTATAAAATTTGCAACTCCGTATTATTTGCAGTCCACAGAGGATAAGCAACAGTATAATAGCTTCGAACGAAAACCGTTACTTTCTCAACAACTCTCTGTTCTTTCCTGACAGAGAGTCGATTCTCGTGTTCGGCGGGGTCGATCCTCACGAGGAATATGGCCTGTCCGGGAACACCGGCAAGGACATATACAGGTTTAAACCTGACCAGAATATTTGGGAATTCGTGGGGGAAATTCCACGAGCGAGACACCATCATTCGGTCGCTTACTTAAGAGGCCGCATTTATGTAGTGGGTGAGTCGAACAGTGACGAAATACAATTGCAAATGCAGTTTATAACGTTGCCAGCCAACGAATTGCATGTTTAAATAAAAAGGAAAAACTGAAAAAAGCAGGACAACACGGATTCTCAGTCCATTTGCAGCATTTAACGAAAGAGTCTGCTACGGCATAATCTTCTTTACGACTTTGTTTTCGAAATCGCGAAAAAATATTCGTTGTGCCTTTCATTGTGCAATCCTTTCCGTGGGACGGATTTAAAGATACTAAAAAAAGCCAATGAAACATTTTTCACCAGGTGGAGCCGATCCCCTGGAAGACAAACTTCACAGGAAAAGCATTGCGGTTGGGAACGTTTGGAGTTACGATCCAACTACCAGGACTTGGTTCAATGAACCTGGCATGCTGACAGCTAGAAAGGACTTCGGATTGGTGGTCAGCCACGGGAAAATGTACGCGATAGGAGGGCAAGGCAGGAACGGGATGTGAGTTGTTATACAGATGGGGAGAACGTAATTACTTTGCTTCTTTTACGTTTTCTTTCATTTTCCTCACTGTTTATTTCTACGCTATGCGACGCTAATTGCCACTAATTTAAGTCCTCTTAATTGTCATCAGTATCGCGGTTTAAACGAAACAATTCGATTTACGGTTACGTAATGACGAAATAGAGAAAAACAAGAGATTTCATATTCCATAATAAATAACATTAATGTTCGATAATATACAGAGTGTCACAGGGCTTAACAAGTCAAATTTTGTCAGTGTATTCTAAAAGTATAATCAAGTAAAAAATGTTGTATAAACTTTGGTCGTTTGAAACTTTATTAAAAAGTTACAATAAAAAATAATGTAAACATAAATTCCTCTATAAGAAGAGAGATTGAGATATATTTCTTTCGTTATAGAGCTTTGAAAACGGTGGAGGCTTTTGATCCATCGGACTCCACATGGAGGGAAGTGCAACCAATGCAGACCGCGAGGGTTGGACCTGCCAGCGTGAAATATCGAGATCTTATCTGGGTCGCTGGTGGAATGACAAAATCGAAAAAAGAGCTATTCTCGAAGGACGTTGAGTGCTATGACCCGATCAAAAATTTGTTAGCTCGATTCCGTCTCTTAGAGTTCCTTCATGCATTCCCTATTTCCCATTACCTGGATTAAACGTTCGATTTATCGCGTGTATACACGGTAAATGCAAGAGAGAGCTCTGTTATCGATGCGATCTTTCAGATGGCTGAAAGCGATACCTTTGAGGTCACCGAGGTGCTTTGCCTCCTTCTACGTGGTGTCCGACTGTCTTTACATGATCGGCGGAGCATCGACTATGGAAAACGTCACTCAGAGCGTCGATTGCATTGACGTGTGGGATGGGAACGATTGCGTTTGGAGGGAACACGCGAACATGTCGATCGCGAGACACGGACATTCTACTGGCTCGATAGGTTGGTTTTTATAGTATCAAAAGACGTGATATATCCTGAGAAACTTCTTCTTTCATAGTGATTATCTTATAGCATTTTTCTATGATATCTGTCATTGTAAATGCAGTAATATATAATCATAAATAGTCAATTGAATAATAAGTTTGTACTATTTTCTTATGATATCAAAGAATGTGATGTGTCCTGGGAAATTTCTCTTCTTCCTTCATACAATAATTATTTTATAACAGTTTTCTATAGTATCATACTATAGTGACATATGATTATATTACGGATACAGTAATGTATACTTATAAATATTAGGTCATTGAATAAATCTGTGCCGTATATTTCTTTCTATTATATCCATTTTTTCCAATACTACTAAACGATTGATTTATAATATTCAAGCAATATATAAAAGCAACATTTACATATTACATATAAATAACACAAATATTGCTTATGATTGTTGTTTTCCTTTTATGAAACTCAGAAAATACGAAGTGCTTGAAAGGAGCATGCGTCTCATTTATAATTTTTTTTATATTTAGAGATCAAAACGCCTATTATTTACTGATTGTTCTTTTTAAATGTATTTTCATATTAAATTCGATCGTATAAAATTAGCCATCTTACTCGTTTGTTATTTTGTATTTACAAAAAGCAGAACCAATATATTGGATAACCTAATATATATATAGTAACTACAAACCTAATAACTACCAACTATAATATAATCTAATAACAACTATTGTATTAAGTACGGTATAATATACGGAATAACCATTAAATAAAATATTATAGTAGTTTCTTTAGCGTTTGTACTGAAAACTCTACTGTATCACATTTCTACGTAACTACGTACCGAAATAACGTATTGTATTTTATAGACTCACTAATTGAAGTCTTCTTCCCTTAGGTGATCAATTGCTGATAATTGGAGGAGTAACTACGGTATTCATGAAGACCTTGAATAGCGTCGAATGTTATTGTTGCGATATAGGAAAATGGATGAAGGGCGTATCGGCGCTGCCGCATCCGGTTTCCGGTCATGGAACCGTGTCTTTACCGCCAGCAAATCTTCTGATAAATCGCTGATAATTGTGACATAAAATACATCAAATTTCCTTATATGCTGTACTTGATAATCAACACACATTAAGTACTTATTCGATCATTAACGAATTTGTATTTAATTACTTTTTAATTATCGTACTTTATCGTACTTTTTACAAATATTGCCTTACAATTTACACTTGTTTATATAATTCTATACTCTTACAATATATATCACAAAAAAACAATATCTTACAAATTACGTTCAGTCTACTTACATGGAAGCTTCAATAGAAGTAAGTAGCTTCGGTAGAAGTAAGTAAAATCAAACTCGAGCGGATAAATATTTATTACAATAAAAAATTTCTTATAGGGGTTAAAAGATATTCCTTTCAAATGACTTCTTTAGCTTCCAAATTGGCCACCAGATGGCAGTAGCATTCTTCCCATCCGGGAGCCGCCATCTGTCATGGGAGTCGAGTGTTATGAACCGCGAAGCGTGTGTGGAAGTTTCGAAAAAGGATTCGGATTCGAATGCAGCGAGGTAACTAGCCGTCGTGCGGATAAACGCGAGTTAACCTGAAAATGGCCGAATCGTGCGAGTCGGTGGTGTCAAGTGTAGTGACTAGTGTTGTGTCCCATGGGCAGACGAAAGTGGCTGAAACACCGAGCCAGGAGGACGCTGAGATATCCGGTTCTCCCGGTATGTTAGCCCTGCTAAAATAACCCGTAGCAGTTTGAGAGCTATTTTATTCAAACGCGACTGTCGAGCGCGGCCATGCAACAAGTGGTACGGAGCGCTCTCGCATGCCGAACAGGAGCGTACAGGGATATTTATGGGCCCGTCTGGGCCTGTTCGCTATCCCGGTATTTTCTAACTAACATGTCGTCGTCGATCACGTGACTCATCGTTCACCTATACGACTTAATTTTCGCGCGTACTAAGTGTCAAAAATGTCGGCGAATCACCGATGACATTTATCACAAACTGGTACCCGTAAAAGGTTTTGTTAAAAAATTTGACGCGTTACTTTTAAAATGACGATTTCCTGATGACGATTGATTGCAACATTGCATTTTTAATCTTATCAGTCCTTTCTCTTACCGATAATAAATTGATATATCTGTGCTTTTTTATTTGATTCATATCTGATAGGATTTTCTGTTTGATCAGTTTGCGAGCATTAGGTTTCAAATATTATATTTATGCATGAGTTTTATTGAAAATCGTAATGACTGAGAGATTTAACATTACGTTACTGGCGGAAGGATTATTGCTAGACAGACAGATGGGAAAGACATCGTGAAACAACTTTCTGAATCAGAGTAATTATTTGTATGATTGAAATTGATCGTAAACGCACAAATCTGGTTTACCTCAAGCAGTACGCAAGTTTAAATTTAATCTATGTACACGTATAACTGGCAATGCGTGTAATTGATTTTGTTCACCGTTAGCGACGAGTTCGTTGAGACATTCCCATGAAAAAAACGCAACGAGTTCCTATACCGGTTTTATTTTATTTATTTTATCTTCGTTTGACTGGCTTCGAATTTTTAATTTTCGTGGTGGCGCTGTTAAACAAGAGAGCTGTTAACGCGCTGTTTATCGAAAGCATCGCAGAAATCTATAATTTCTGCAGTTAATTTCGTTAATTTTGTTTTAAATATCGAAAAATTGGTTTAAGAAATACAATTGTAAATGGGTACAGTAATTTAATCATTAAGAAAGTGACATGACAAATTCTTTTATCGACGAAAAAATGACACACTCATAAGTTATCCGCGATAAGCTGTAAACCTTATAGGTATTAGATACGCGGGACTTCCTGCACATTATCTGTCTACATCACTCAAACTGATTGCACTCCTGTAACGTGACAAAACATTAACCATAAGTTGTCATTTCTGTTACCATATACCGATATGTTCTGACATCTGTAAAATTGCTGTATTGCGCGACTGCGTATGTTAATTTATACGTAATTACAAATTAAACTGCATTAGAACGTATAGTATATACAAATAAATTGCTATTCATTAAATGTATGATATTTTTTTGTCTTTTCGATTTTGATCTGTTACAATCTGTATGTTTTCTTAGAGAGGTCGCCACAAAATATAAAAAATCCAGCTATTCTATAATCGGACCGTTTGAAATACACAAATATAATCATAAAATTAATATATTCCAATATAAATATCTGACTCTGTAATATTCATTTAGAAAATGGATATTTTTAATAAATATAGAAATAAATATTGAATAAACATATATTTCATAAAATTGAAACAGATGGCGCGGTAGGATCTTTTAGTATGAAATGATGGCGTTAGTGGCGCAACCATGTAGTAACCTAACTTACTATAAACAAAACATTACAAGTGCAGTGATAGACATTGTACCATAACTTGTGTGTTGAGAGGTTAAAATTATATTAGGAAAATATAATGTTGAAATCAATTTTAGCAGAAGAATGTACTCGTACTAAATTAGCACCATCGTTAGAAAAAGTATTAAACGATTTAGACAGAGAATCCACGCATCACGATTATATTGTTGCTTTAATAATAGTATTGTTAGCAGAGGCTGGTTTTTATTTGTCATCGTCATATAGTGATCGGCCACAATGGTACGCATTATCATTGATAGCGTGTATTTTTTAGTCATCAATTGTATTATTGTGTGTTATAAAATGCATCTGTCACAGTCCAAAACTACTCTATATACCAAAAAGTTGGAAATCGCGAGACACGGGAATATATGAAATGTATTTTCAACTAGAAAGTGTTCCTGATGTAGAATGCAAACTAGTTGTAGTCCCTCTGGGAGACACATTGATTTTGAATTTTTTTCCTCTTATGGATGGAAAAACGACTTACAGTATAAGTGTACAGACTCTGAAGTATGTTAATCCTTACTCGAGTGATCTTTGTGGACGGTACATGAATCTTAAAGCAATATCTCACAGGTATGATAAATTTATAGCTATGTTGATTATTTGAAAAGGATTATATTTGTTCTTATTAAACTGTTTAATAGGTTTAAGGATCAATTGTCTACACCAGTGCGTAAAGATCTATTTATCAAAGCTGGTGTAATGGGTCCTAGTCTTCAAACTATTCCAATTGAGTTGAAGTTCAGAATTTTAAGACTGCTAGATGCCTATAGTGTAACAAAGATGGCACAGTGTTGTAGAGAATTCCGTGATATATGCTCAGAATCACAATTATGGAAGGATTTACTATATAGGGATTTTCCAGGATGTTACCGTACAGTATCAAATGGCAAAGACTGCTATCGTTTTAGGTACAAAAACAAAAAACTACTTAAACGGTTAAACCTTTAACTATTTAAAAGAGCAAGGGAAAAAGCACAAGTCATGCATGACAAGGGCAATGTTTTAAAATGATGTAATAAATATTTTTAATTTATTATACTTTGTATTTTGTAAAATATGTTTGTAAAAAATTCATGATGTTATAAACACAGTTGTGAAAAACATGTGTGAAAAAAAATAAATTATAAATTAAAAAGTCCTGTAATACTAAGGTTATTTATAAATACTAGGACGTTTAACATTAATTTATTATAATTATTGAATTATATAACAGGTATATGTGATATTTCCAAATGCTTATGTTTATTTGTTCAACCTCGTTTCTATATAATAATTTGATAATACTTGAACTTTTACTTATGTATAGCATTCACATGTATTTAAAGATTATAACTTCACGGTTTGATTATCTTGGATGCATCGTTGCACAGATATGAGTTTCATAAGCGCAATTTACAGATTATCACTGAACTGTTGTTCCAAGGAACTAATTCCCGAGACATATCGGAAAAACTATGTTGCTGGCCGTAATTACCGCAAGAAGGTTTTATTTCAATTTTCGATAAAGTATAATTTGAACTAATCAATCAATCACAACACAAATAGTCCTAGTACCATTAACTAACTATAGGATAGACCTGGCATTATACAGAATTTCGTGTCTAGCTATAAAAAACGCAAGAAGATTTTCTATGAGAATTGTTTCACTTAACAGGAGAAAGTTAATATAATATCTAAATATTTTGAAAAATTGAAATCATCTATCGTGATTAGGAAATTTCAACATCAAAGTAATTTTTTAAAATGGAAGTACATATTTTTATTGTTACAAATTTTTATTCTAAGCAAGCAAATGAGCAGTGTGATATAATTTCCAGCATGAGTATATTTCTAATGACATAATGTATACAAGCATGCAATCCTACTATTAGAAATAAAAATTTGCCGAATGGTAATCGTTTATTTACATTAAGGATTAGATCGATAGATGGCGAAAACCTGTATTTAAAATTTGTTTCTTTAATTACATATTGCATATGCCTATCATATAAGTAGTTAAGACTAAAATGCACACCTTCCAGGGCATTCCACGTCAAGTTCACTTGTTAACGAGTAACTGCAGTACAGACTAAATTATCTAAGATATTTATGGGAATTTTTTGCGATCTACACTGAATTACAGAGAGCGTAGTTTTTAGCTTCATATCGTGTTCTAAAGATTAATTTGTTGATATAAAAACATGATTGTAAAGATTAATCTTTGGAAAACAATGTTAATTACCAGGTCTCACCACGAGGAGGTAACTACGCATACGAGACCCACCCTGGACCCCTAATCCCATTGACTGGAAATTGAATATCTTGAAAAAGCTTGTGGCATTTACACAAGCTTGAGTTTAGTATGATATCTACTGATATACGTGAGCATAAAGATTGTTCTTAAAATGTATTGCACAAATTCAGACTCTCTAAAATATATATCCTATATACATAGATATATGTATATAATATGTATATATACGTAATATTATATCACATTATCAACTACAATTTAATATATAGTTTATTAAAGAGAGTAGACTAGAATATATATATGAAAATTCTTAAAAACACTTGTATTATATTTGAATTTCAAATAATTTTATTCTTTATGTTCTCAGGAACACGGAATACTACAGCTTACAGTAGTCGATTGAAATCCACTAATTGTAAGAAAAATAAGTGAGAAGCATGCATACGAAGGTAGATTATTGTGACGTAAACTATTGAAAAATATTAATTATCAAGACCTACCCTGCACGAGTGTGATGACACTCGCTGCAATGAATGGCTTTTCAATTTAAAATTGAGGTCGCATTTCAGTTCAGATTATCATATTTGAATCTTTAACCAATCACCGAAGAAACCAAACCATGCGACTCACCGTCGTAGAATTGGAAATTAGTTGCAACAAATTCTTTGCTCAAGTCTATGAACGTTGTTTCTTTTCTTCTTAAATCCTTCTATCGGTTTTATAATGGACACGCTTTGGTGGCAGAAAGAAACAGAACAGAAAATAAATTATTAAAATATTAAATAGTGTTTTGAAATGTTATAGAAACAGAATAATTATTTCATTGTTATAAGCAATTTATTAAAATTGTTAAATAATGTTTAAAGGTAGTGAATAATTAAATTAATGATTTTATGTTGTTATAAACAGATCTTTAAAATTGTTAAGTAATGTTTGAAAATATTATTGAAATAAAATAATTTATTGACAATGTTAAATAATATTTAGGAATGTTATAGAAATGAATCCGTGATTTCATTGTTATAAATAAAGTATTAGAAATGTTAGATATCGTCCAGCTTACGATAATATAAGTTTCCGTGTTGTCGATGTGTACGCTGCGAAGGTTCAGGTAGTAGTAACGATCTCCCGCTGTAGTATCACTCAAAGTCATCGTGAATGTTTGGAGAGAGGGCAAAACTTTCGATACGGTCGAAATCTGATTTTCCTATTATAGCAATCAATAATTTTTAGATTATTACTACACATTTATACTTTCGGCGATTTATTCTAATAATTAACATTATAATTTACATATTTATTGCAAGTTACAACTACATTTAAAGTTTCATGTCATTAGTTTTTCACCTGTAATTATATTAATATTATATTAAATGCTAGTTTATAATGGAAATAATTATAATGTTATAAAAATGAAGTTGACCAGTTATCGTCAATCATGCATGGCCACGGTAAATGTACATATGGGTGGGGCAGATAAAAATATTACAAGTTGTTTTCTTCGAAGCCATTGCAGATATCAACTTGACATTTTTTGGTGTTAAATAGCACAGAGGGGTTAACACTTTAGGCTGTAAGATATTGTGCGGGTGAGTCTTTTGGAAATGAAAGGGATGTTACCCCATTCTTCTTTAATAGGGTGACATTAATTTATCGATATTCGGACAGATGTTATCAAATCTAACAACTTTTACCGAAGGGGTTTTTTTTTACTTTACATAGTTAAAGAGTTATAGCGGAAAATACCTTACGTAAGGAGAGTTTCGTGACGATGTGGAAAGATATCAAAAGAAATATATTATGTTTTGAAAACACGCATCTATTCTTGTGATAATAGCTTCGCCAATATTTGATAACATTATTGGAATTATAGATTTACATGCGGTCTGAATTCATCTTTTAATATCTTTTTTCATAGTCAGTGTCGTTGCAATCACTTTTTCCTTTACATAGCTCAATAAAAAATAATCAACTGACGTTAAATTAGGTGACCTATTTGAGAAATAATTTTCAAAGCAGAATAAATTTTTTTTAATGTTTCCCGACACCTTCGTGGAACTTTCCTTGCATAAGATAAAAAGAAATGGGAATAGTACATATTTCTGCCTTAAGAAAGTCACCCTCACAATATCTTACACTGTGAGATGCTAGACTCTTTGTACCATTTAAGTTCGAAAACTTCAAAGTTTAAAAATCTCAAATTGATATCTGTAATGGTTTCGGGGAAAATAGCCTATACTTAACACTTTATCTGGTCCACACTGTATAAAAATTCTACTTGGTATGAAATAAAAATTACAATACAAATCTTCCAAGGAGGAAAGTAATGATATATTATTTAAATTTTAGACTTTCAGATTTTTCAGAGTGTTATTATAAGCTTCGAATTTTTATTATTTACCATAATACTTTATACTAATTTATAAAGTTTTTAACTTATTTAAGCGTATACCGTCGTCCAACAATTATGTAGTAAATATGTATATGAATCTACTATGTTTACACGAATATAATTCTGCTTTATGTCATATAAGACTACGTGAAAGCATTACTTTACTTTAATTATGAATTTAAGTTATCTTCTTATTTTGATTCATTTAACAAGATTGGAACATTATATCTATTACTGACTGTAATCGTAAGCAAAAAAAAAAGAAAACAAAAGTAATAGGTAAATACAATACGTTATAAGCATGGTAGCTTCTATTCAAAATTATCTTTTTATCAACCGCTCTCCATTCAGTTTGTATAACGATGAACAAAAATGCTATAGGCATACAGCATTCTTTATTTTGTAATTACGAAATGTCCTGTTCTATAGTGTATTTGTAGTTTCATACAAGAGTTAGGTTTTGATTCAAACCATTACTATACTTAATTGATAATGTCGTGTGCGACACGAAAATGATAAGAAATCAGGTGATCCTGAAACGTGAAGTACAAAAAAAGCATTGTCAGATTTATTCTCATCTGTACTAATACACATGTAGTTCACTTATAAGTTAATAACTGAAATCTAGTCTAGATTCCAGATCACCTGGAAACCTCGACGAGAATTTTGAATGGTCTAGACTACATTGTAGAACGCGTGAAATCGATAATCTCTGACAGATACTTTATCGATGATACACAAAGAAGTGTTAATCAAATAAAATTATGTAAATAGAAGATTTTTCTTAAATAAATATTTTTTAAGATCCAGTATAAACATGTGCAAAGTTCTTGTCTTCGTACGCCTCTAATCTTTACTCTCAAATATTTATATAAAATTTTCAAACATTTGTTTCAAATAGAATTAATTATATTTTTTTTAATATTCTTTAATTATTCTTGATTTTATAGCATCATTTCTTTAATTACATCCTTACTGTCATTTGAATTAAATTTTTTCCAATTAATTATACAAATTTATAATGTTCGTAAATTATTTTTCAGCAGAAGAGATAACGAAGCCAACGCTGAGCAACGATGATACCCAAAATGAGGAAACGACGACACAGAGTAATGGTGATACCGGTGAGTGATAACCAAGGCAACAACTGTTTCGCTCTTCCTCTACTGTGTTTCACTTCTGGTCGATACGTCAGATGGAAGCACACCTGGTTGCACCTATCGATCTGGTGTATCAGCAATGAAAATTTGTCTTTGTACACCGTGGAAACTAGCGGCGGTTTACAACAAAATGGAAACGATCGCCTTCATTGTAGTTTATAATATTATTATAGTCAATACGCAATCAATTAATTACGCGGTAACTCTTAACGCGAGATCATGCTTATCATTAACAATCCCCGATATGAGCTTCGATTTGTCATTATGCAAGTGGGAATAAATAATTTGCCACGTGCATCGACGCTTCATATGTTTAAAATGCAACTCTGTTATTGTTGAAAAGCAGACTGTTGCATCTCCGACGCTAGATAAAGCTACAGAGATTGATACATCCGTCCATCAAACATTGATTATCTATCTATCTTGTACTTTTTACAAGGGCACGTTAAAAAAATACGTGAATTTTTATTATAAACTCGTTCGAATTTATTTTGACATAAAGCATTCGGTTCAGAGAATAAAATTAAAAATTAGGAAGACGGAATCTTCAAGATGTTGGAAGATTTTCTTCACGATATTTCATAAAAATGTTAGAATCGCCGCAAGGAGATGAGAATTTTTATTACAAACTCCTTCGAATTTATTTAAACGAAAAATATTTGTTTTGGAGGATAGAACTAGAACTAAGGGTCGTCGAGATGTTGGAGTAGAACAGGATGTTGGAAAATCTTCTTCGTGATATTCCTTAGTAGCTGTTTGAGGGATTTGGTTGATCGCAGTTAGAATCTACTTCATGAAATAAGATATCATTTCTGGATTCGTGATTTTTATGAGTAGGGATGCAAAGTCTTTGCAAGTACGCAAAATCTTAGTGATTACCTATCGATTCAAACTTTCATATTTTTTTCGAAATGGTGCGGATTTTACACTTTTATCATCCATATCCATATCTTTTTGCTTCTGTACACCATGTTTATAAAATTTCCTCTTTGTCTCGATTGATGGTACAGTATAATATTATACTGAAATATTGAAGCTTTTCTTGAATTCATCGAACGTCTCTAATTGAACTATATAATTTTTATATAAAAAATTTTACAAACATTCACACGACAAATTTTAAACGTTTATAAATTTTACACCACGAATTTCAAATACTCACAAATGTCATATTACATAGAAATATTTGTTTTAATCATAATCTTTGAAATATTAATATGTCTTGAAATTTTAATTCTAAGTAAATATTTTACTTTCAACATAAAATAGTGAAATACAGAAAGATATCTGCTTTACATTTCTTCTTGTAAACTGTAAACCACTCTGTTCTCTCCAACGGATTTTTTCGTTTTTATTTCCAATAAAAAGAAGGAGAAAGCTTCGATTTTGACACAACAACGCTATTATTCGCTGGTTGATGTCCGTGACGTTGTACATCGTTAATCCGCGAAATGCAGTTAGGCAAGTGGATTCACATGTTCCACGCGATCCCACAAATTCGAAGGCTGAGTTCGATCGTTAGATACGGGATGGTTGATAATTGTTATTACGCTGCCGTTACGCTGTCAAATCGCAGTTGGAAAATGATTGAAACGTTTCTGTAGATTGGCTTTGTCGTATGCAGCCTATAATAAATGTGTCTTGTCGTTTCGACGCTCGATTTGTGTCCGTTAATTTTGCAAAATCGGAGTAAGGATTAAATTGGAAAACGGATAACTGATTCGAATGTCTGCGCAATATATGAAATTTCGGGATTAATTTATTATTATAGTTTTCATTCGTAGAATTTGATTTCGCTACGGTCTTTCGTCAAAGCGAATATTTTATTTTCCATTTTCTTTGACGTTAATACGTAACGATGGGTGTTCGTTAATTTTATCAAAGAATAATATATAAAGAACCGCACATGTAATTTTTATTAAAAACTGTGAAAGTCCAAGGAACATTCGATGAATTGTAAACAAAAAAATTTGTTTGTTGCTAAATAATTGGAAGAAGTTCTATTTCAAACCGATTTGCTGAAAAGTTTACTTTGCTTAGTTGCGCCACTTTTTCAACAAACCTACGATATAGTTCCAACAGTGTTACAGTAAACAGACATCAATATACAATTTCCCAGTAAAAATTTCCCTACTAACGATTTTCCGTCTGTTCTATTTAATTCTCACTAATCCACTCTCTGATGGCAGAAAGAAAATCAAAAAGAGGAAGGTGATAGGTGTTTCAATATT